CCCACTTGCACCCCTTGCCCCCACTTCACAAGGAGGGACTCAACACCGTCTATCTGAGGCACAGTGGTCTCCCTTGGACACATACTCTCCCTTATAATGACCGCCACCCCCCCGCCCCTACCCCGGGCCCTCAGCTGATGGAATGCTTGGAAACCTGGTGGGCATAGATCAACAAGGGGGACTCCCCCTTCCATGCCCAACCAGGTCTCGGTGATACCCGCCAGGTCCGCTCCCCCCTCGTGAATAAGTTCTTGAATGAGGGGGGCCTTATTTACCACAGACCTGGCGTTGCATAACATCAGCCGATGGACCCGGGCCGGAGGATCTAAGGTCCCTGGAGGATCTAAGGTCCCTTCTTCACTGCCTAACTAATTAAAAGATAAAAGATCACTTTTGGATTAATTGTGCACAAAGTCCAGAAACATCCAATGCATGTGATTCTGTCCATCTGTGTCGGTTAGTTAGCATTGCTTTTGAATGGACATGGCTCATAATCCTACTGTGATCATGTTTTTATGGAATGAAAGTCTACTACAATGTTCAATATGCTTCTCTTATGGACTTCTGCATCTCTAGTATTCATTCTCTAATAACATCTATCCTTTGAAAATCAGGAACACAGCAGTTGAGGATTGATCTGGAAGATTTCAATGGTTCCAAAACTTTTGCAACTTATTTCAGTTTCAAAATTGCAAATGAAAGTGAAAACTACAGGCTGACCGTGGGTTCCTATTTGGATGGCAACATGGGTGAGTAATACAGAGAATGCCTCTTTATTTGAGTACCTTCTGACAATGAATGTAACCAACATGTCCCTTGACCTGATGCAGAATGCAGAAACATTTTAAGCCAGGATCTGCCTAATTGCTTTGTGGCCTATCACAGGGACAAAGATTTGGCCACATATCCTCTGCAAACTGCAAAACTGAACCCCAAACATCATTCCAACTCATTCTACTGTCCCTGAGTGAAATATTGGGGAGGGATGAAGCGACAGGTTACCCACCTCATTTTTACTTTAATAAGTTCAAAATATATGACCCACAGACTATTTTCATATGGTATCTCTAGCTAGGGCAGAAGCCTTCAGAGGCTGTCAGGCAGCATAGGAAGGAATGAACCACTTTTGGTGGTTTGTCCCAACAACTGAGCATCACTGGGTTTGAATAAGGTGTTACTGTAGCTGTCATTGCTAATGTTGCGTGAAGAGAACCACAAGTTTACTATGGCTGGATTTCACAATTGCCAGTGAAAATTGTTGTGTTCTTTGTATTCCCCCCCCTTAATCCCCTATGCATATCCTGATCACCCATTAAGGGTGATTGCCCTTCACCATTGATCGCCCATTAAGGGTGATTGCCCTTCACCATTGATCGCCCATTAAGGGTGATTGCCCTTCTCCATCTGCATACAGTTTCATGCCCGTTGCTGGTTGGCTAACTAGCAAC